ATTTTTGCCTGAATAGAATTCAAAAAGTGTGGGAGGGGTTTGTGGGAAGGAAAACTTGAGAGTACACTCAAACAGCTGCTATCGTTTGTTAGCAGTCAAATGAAAAGGGGAGCTGAGTTAAAATCGCTTGTGGGATTTGGAAGTATACAGCTAATAAGTGGTCTGTGTGTGTGATCAGAAATGGGTAATTTGTTAATTTCCCTGATAAATGTGATTTTATTTTCTCAAACAGCTTACATTTCTGAACGTATACTGTTTTCCAGTGCTACGCTTCGTTCGCAAAATTTCATATTCACGCAGACACAACTAAGCATTTAATCGTTTGACTGCTTTGCATTTAAAACGAAAAATATCCCTTTCGTGCACATTGGTTAAAAACGAATCATGGGGGCATATTCCACGCTTACTCCTTCTCCACACTAAATTTACTGTTGAAATGAGCAAAATTAGGCTTGAAGTGTGTTTCAGAATAGCAGAACATTATTTAAATGTTGAAAATATCAGAGTAGGTATTAGATCCAATTTAATATGCATTGAGCATAAAATTGAATTCTATTTCAGAATGGCAGAAACAGCAGCAGCACTGTTCAAAGAAATTGTTCCAGCGCATAGTACGCCACATTCTAAAGTTACTGTGGTTGGTGTTGGCCAAGTTGGCATGGCTTGCGCTGTTAGCATCATGCAAAAGGTTGCTTCTTTACCCTTTAGAACTTCTTATTTATTAAACTTTGCAAAACTCTATGAAAAGCCAATATTTTTATGGAAAATTGTCTTGATAAATTATGGATATGTCAAGCTATAAATCGAGGAGAAAATTAATATTATCTTTTGTGACCTAGCTCTAAGCCCTCATTGTTATTCTTCTTGTCAAATCCGAACTAGAATTTTTTGATCTCAGTTAGTTCAGCAATAATTCTCAGTTGAGAAAATCCGAAAATTCTGACAGGCAAATAGTTTCCATGAGAAATTTGTATACATGTGGAAGAATTTCACTTTGAATCTCAGACATGCTCATAGTTGGCCACTTTAATCGATATAAAATCAGATTTATATCTGCTAACGTAAGCAGTCAACTTGAAACACTAACGAAATCATTGCTATTTTTTTTTTTTTTAAAAGGGAAACTGGTTTTTCGGAAACTAATTCCTTTAGTGTAGTTTAGGGTGAATGGTAATTGATGTCTTTGAGTAGTTTAGCGTGTACTTTCTTCACCGTCGATAGTTTCTGGGCTTGGACTGTTGTTGTAGTTAGTATCACCAAATTTATTATCTTGCACTGCATTTTTGATATTTGAGCTCTTCTGAAGTACATTCATTTTGCTTGTTCCCTTTTATTTCCCTTTGTAAGAGAAGGTATTTTTTATTCACTTGGTATTTTTCAAAACAAGTTTCCCCTAACAGGGATGTATCCGTCACAATTTTCAAGAACCATAGCTTCGTTCGTAAAGATACTGTATTGACTGACTGTTTAAGTCACAACCAAACTCAATTAGTCCAATCCTTAAATTTTGCTCAAAGCTATATAATTTCATAGTTCGAATTTCCAAAACAATAGCACTAAACCAGCTTAGTTAGTTTGCATAAAAGAAGTTCGGAATTGAACTTAATCTTTTACCAAATAATGTTAAGGAATGATAAATCTAAAATAAATTGATTTGAGTATTAGTTCAATAAATGCTAACAATGCAAGCAAGTTGCATTTATATGTTTTGGAGTAAATTTTAGCTAAATAAAGGATTTTGCAGAATATCGTTAGTGAACTATGTTTGGTGGATGTCGTGGCAGACAAATTAAAGGGAGAAATGATGGATCTGCAACACGGAGTTCCATTCATGAATCCATGTATTATCCGTGCCTCCGTCGGTAATTTTTCAATTTATTTTGGAGTAATGCTTCAGTGATGGTTATTCGCGTGCTTTACATTTATGAGTACATTTAAGCGTAGTGATAATAATAATACCCATGAATTGGTTCTTTTTATTGAAATTTTTTGTATTACAGATTATGAAATCACCAAGGGTTCAAAACTTTGCATAGTAACAGCTGGTGTTCGTCAGCGTGAAGGTGAAAGTCGTCTCTCGTTAGTGCAGCGTAACGTAGAAATTTTCAAGGGCATCATTCCTAAACTAATTGCCAATTCTCCGGATACTATGCTGCTGATTGTCTCCAATCCAGGTTTGATGTTTTTTTAACTATAGTTTATTGGAGAAAAGAAGCTGTTACTGAGTTTATAAATGTCCATTTTGTTAGCTAAGGTGCTTCATAATTCCTTCGGTTTGGTTTGTGACTCCAAAGTAATAGGAATTACAATGGCCTTTCAAAATTGCTATCGCTCGATTAGCACACCAAATTGATCATTCTGATGATAGTATTTTAGTCGACGTGCTCACCTATGTTGCTTGGAAAATTTCCGGATTGCCACCACATCGTGTATTCGGTAGTGGAACAAATCTTGATTCTGCTCGTTTTCGCTTTTTGCTCTCCGAAAAACTTGGAATTGCAGCAACTAGTTGTCATGGATGGATTATCGGTGAACATGGCGATTCAAGTGGTAGGTTTCATCAAGGATTCTTCGCAGTTAAAGATCTAGTACTTTTCTGAGACAGTCGTTATTTAGAATAATTTTTACATTACAATAATTTTTAGTTCCGGTTTGGTCTGGTGTTAATGTGGCAGGTGTTGCATTGCGCGACGTAAAACCTGATATCGGCAAGATCGCAGATTCAGACAAATGGCAAGAGGAAGTCCACAAAGGAGTCGTTTCAGCGCACGTTTTGATATCTTTATTAAAATTAACTTTTTGCCTATTTTAAATTCGTGAATATATTCGTGTAATAAAATTTTGTTATTTTGCTGGCAATCTTTATAGAATGTTAGCATATTCTTAAATTACACTGCTTAAAAGTGATCTTAATTTTAATGTTTTAGTGCTTACGAGATCATCAAGCTGAAAGGTTATACTTCCTGGGCTATTGGCATGTCCACAGCTGCCATCAGCTCGATCGCTCTTCGTAATACGCGTTCTGTTTGTGCCCTTTCGGTCAACGTTAAGGTTTATTTTATTCTTTTGTTTCTTATTTATTAAATATGAAAAATGGAAAAAAGTCTTTGATTTTATACTGCTACAACTTACAGAATGCTTGCAGAATTGAAATTAATTTTTTTTATAATTTGAAATTAATTTAGATTTAAAACTTTCAGATTGGTTTTGTATGTGGATAAAATTTATCATTTTAATAACTCTGATTGCAGGGTTTGCATGGCATCAACGAAGACGTTTATCTATCACTTCCAGTCGTTCTGGGTGAGAATGGTATCACTCATATCGTAAAGCAGAATCTGAATGAAACTGAGGTATAGCTTCTATTTTTAAATTAAGCAGGAAAGCACACTTGTCTCATTTGGTTTATCTTTTTTTTCGCCTTACTCTTTTTTCCTCATTCTTTATCTTCAGGTTCTGAACCAACTCAATAAAAGTTTTTAAATCATTAAGTTTCGAAGTTTAATACTTATCTTGACCATCAAGTAAGTATTGCAAAATTTCCTAGAAAAAATTGAAAATGTTTAAATTTATTCATTTCAGATAAAACAGCTTCAGCAATCTGCCGCACAGCTGTATGAGGTGCAATGCGGTATCAAAAATCTTTGAAGAAAACAGGATGACTATATACACTATTTGATAACAATCATACCTGGTATTTATAACAGTGAATGGGATAAAATGAATTAGATGAATGAGATTAGCACTTACCAAAATGATTTAATTAAAATTTACTTACTTTTCACTCTGTATCGTTCATTTATCTTACACCGGCTGAATATTTTTGACACGAAATTGAAATGAACAGGATTCAAAGGTTTTATTCTCCATAATGTTCAGTTCACAAGCCATATCATATACTTCCCAAATTTTGGGTGAAAAAAAAGGATGAAAAAAATGAAAAATTTGGTACTCTCTCATTGCATATATTCCGTAATATACTGCTCCTGTTTGGGTTTATTTTACAACTATGCTTATAGATTTAAGATTCACGTGTTTTGCTGGGTCTTAGAAGTAATTATTATCCATTAATGAATTAGACAGTTAATTTTAATTGGTTTTTTGATAATGTATTAATGAATTAAACAATTTTTAATAATCGTCATTCGTAAATTGCTCTGAGATACAAGCTCGCTTAACTTGCTTGAGTGTCTAAAATTGCTCTATAACATTGATCGCAAAGAAACGTCGAAATAGAATGTTACATAGCGGATTCGTTGGTGTTAGCAAGTTCTCTCAGATCTATTTCGTCAAGCTATCTTGAACATGTTTGATATTTTAAATTTAAGAAAGGCAAGTGAAGACGCTTCGTTTTGATGTATTAACATTCTTTTTATTCGAGAGCTTAATGTAGGATTACTTGTTTGTGTGGTTGTTTACGTGTTTATGGTGTAGACAATCAAATCTTCATATTCAGAGACAGAAAAGGAGAATGATAGTTTATCAGACCTGATCATTGTATTGATTAAACTAAATATCGGTTCAAGGCTGATAATCTCGTTGTTTAAAAGCTTGATGGTACTCGCTAGTCAGTAGCTTTGTTGCAAGACTGCAGACCTAACTTTCGTAAAAGAAATAGCTAATATGGCTCAGTGGCGTATAAATGATGAAATTGTAAGCGTGAAGAATTCAGAAATTTAATTTAAAGGGATTTAATGCTTAAATCACGATTATATTCAATGTTAGTGATGTGTTTTCAAGTCTTTATCCTACTCGTCTCACTATTTTCTTTGCGGTCTTAATTCGATTAATTTCTTTACGAACGTCAATTTTTTTGTTAATATGTTATTGTAATGAAGAAGAACTTTGGATTTAATATTATGATGGACCTTCCTCAGCAATATCATCAAATTAGAATGATAGCATGGTAGTTTTAGCGTTAAGTTTCATAATTATGAACGAAATTACTACAACATTGGACATTTTGTAATTTCATAATCCATTAGAAACAATTAAAAAGATTAAGTACTGAAAGCATCATAATCTCTTTTGCCGAAACGAATAAATGTTGGTTTGCCATGTGAACGGGAACCATGTTCAAATCGCAATTGTGGTTCTGACCTCAACGATATTGCATACCAATCCTTTGCGTTTTCATTAGCCTGGAATTTGACAAAATCTAGAGATTAATAGAACTAATAGTAGGTTAAGTAAGCAAAAACGGGTGAGTTGTACTTGAAATATTTTCATCAAAAATTATTCCACATCGGATAAGTTTGTTGCAAAATTCAACTTTGTTATGCATAGTTCATGCATTTCGTGAGGATGGAGTGCTGGATACTGCAGTATCCGATGACATCAATATAACCTTTTTAATACTGATGTCATCGGATAATAATCAATGAATGGATGAGCTGTTTGACCTGATCCGTAATGAGTTCTACTCTCTGATCCTATAGGTTTGAAGGTTCTATGTTGATGTGAATTTCTTAAAAAATAATAAAGATAAACGAACGAATTCATTATCTTCCCCATTTATAACATTGGCTTTTGTATATGTTGTCATGATAAATAATCCGAAACAAAGAGCAAAATAAATAGTTGCACTGATGCCGGTACATTGAGTATGCGCCATTTTCGGAGAGATCGTTTCACTTAAATTCTTGATAATTTCAATTGTCGTTTTCCAATAAGAACGCTGAAAAAACTTGGAATCATAATAGTAAAAGATAGCAGAGATGTAACAGATAGCGTTATATACGGCGTGATGGTGGCACGCATTTGAGGAAAGGAACCTGATCCATAAAGAATCTCATTTTAAAGAAAATTAATTTTTTGAAGAAAAAAGATCAATCATTTTTTGCTCTTTTAGGGAAGTTGTTGATACTACAGAACACATTTCATGTTAAAGCATCCTTTTAATAATATGATAAAAACAACTAAAAACCATGACCCTAATATTTACTCACATGATGAAACTCCAAGCGATGATTGAATTTCTGACTTTAATGAAGTTTGAGAAATTACTTTAAAAAACTAAATGCTGAAAAAATTCTCGAGAATAATGCAAAATAATATCGATTTTGACAGTTGATGGGTATTTTAGTATAATCTTGGTTTGATTCAATTCATTTGTTTACACCCCCTTCGGAGTAATTACTACAAACGGCAGAGAAGATGAATAAAATATGTAATCTTACTTATCTCTAGTCATCCGAGTCTAAGGTCTGAGTATCAGTAGTTAGTTTAAGAGAATACATTGTAATGCATTGTACAGGAAATCGTATCACATACGAGAATTATTTTATATCAAACTTTCTTCTCGCCTGTAAAAAACGTGATCCACTAATTTTCTGACTACAGAGCAGAACTTAAGTGGTAATGTCGAGCTCGTACTCAGTCTGAAACATACGGCGATGATATCATTTTCAAGCATCAAAATTTGATTCCTAATGTTTGCCGAGATTCACATTCACACTGATCAAAGGTATCAAACGATGACCATAACTTTTTGATGCAAGTTGAACAATATTCTGGAGTTTCTTCTTTATCCAACTGCTAAAACAATTACTTTGCCGTATATAATTCATTTTCCATGAAAAGTTATGCAGCATTATCTAATCGAGAAATGATTCTTTGTTGATTGTTGATCGATGAACAGAACAATATCCATTTCCTTAACTTTTTTATTCCTCCGATTTGCTTCAAATATCGAATTATCGTAAAATAGTCGTAGTTGTAAGAATCAGCTTCGATGCTTATTCTCCATCGGTCAATGTCAACTTCTGATGTCCAGCCATTATGCTTTTCATCTTCAAATTCTCTTGCCTCCATAAAACCTTCTGATCAGCAACTGCATCATAACTCATTAGCAATTTCTGAACCATTTATAGTTTACTGGTATTATACGCTGTTTCGGCTCCTTAAAGCTCATTTTAAAGTCAAGTAAAAAACCGTTCGAATAATCTAAATTAGATTTAATTAAATAGAACTGATGACAATCAAAAGAAATTGTCAAAATTTCTAGAAATAAACGCTTCCACTCAAAGAATTACTTCGAGATATTTACTAATTTCCCTCAGTGACATACATGTGGTGATACTATCGTGGGATGTCCCTAAGTAAATAATTTTTGTGATGTTGTATAAACTGCAATCGTATTGTCTTTTATGATGATTGAATTACGTTATATGTTAATATATCTTATTTAGATACGTTTCTAAATATAATGAAGAGTAGTTTTCATACTTAGCAATTAACAAAATTTTATGCGCTTATATTTATAAATTCTAAATAGAAAATTTGATTCAAATTAGTTTGTTTATATTTTTATGATGAAAAAAAAAATTTTGAACAATCAACAATTTAAAATTCCACTTTTCGTAAATTAAAATTTAACAACATTCGAAATAAAATTTTCATCAAATGGAAATATCGAAGAATATAATTGCAGATTTAATTTGTTTTCAACTTAAAAATAAAAACCGAAGACATAAGAAAAAGTCAAAATTAATGATGGAAAAATAAAATAATGAAATAAAAATATAAACATGAAAGTAGACAAAGTTAAAAATTTTAAAAGTAAAAATTATTTTTGTGAAGGACAAAGTTATTTGTCCATCGGTTTTGCAGCTGTTAAATAAATGGACAATACTTTTAATAGTCCAATATTTTACCCGACAGAATTTCATAAAATTATCGTACAAAAAATTTCCATTCGATCATTTTTCTTAGCTAAATGTACTTCAAATTATGTGACTAAGAAATATTTAAAAAATAATCGAATTTTGAAACATTTTCCCACAAAGATTTTCCATCTATCTTACTTCTGTACCGTAATTTAATTAGATGCTTAAATTAAGTTGATTAAATGATAATATTACTTAAGTATTAAATAGTTGATTTTTAAGAAAATGTTTACAATTTTATTTATGAAAAGAGTGGTTCACAGTTTAGCTTCAATAATTGCGTTTTGGTTATTTGATCAAGTAAGAAGTTCCAAAATACACTAAGGAAAAAATAAACCAATTAAAACGAATTAGAAGCAAATTATTTGGAATTCCTCTTTTTCCCAATTTTTAATTTTATTATCATTTGAAAATTTTGTTGTACTTTTTATTGCTTATAAAAAACGTTATGGAGAAAGTTCATGGAACAGATAAGAAGTGGTACTAATATTCTTAGTTGACAAAAGAATTATCCCATACGGGTGCAATGATATACCATCTGACAATGTCAAGTTCAGATGTCAAGGTAGTTATTCTGAATCGTGGAAATAGATATCACGAATAAGATGACTGTATATTATAAGAAAATAGTAAAATATGTTGTCGGTAACAAATACTAAAGAAAGGCGCATCATAATATTTTTATTTCCCTTGGAAAAATTCAAATTTAATGGAATCGTATCATGAAATCAAGAATTTGTTCTCTTCTTGGAAGGAAAGCAAAATGCTTTCTAATATTCATTACCATAAAGTTTGAAAACAATTTTTTTTGCATGTTAGGAAACTTTCAAAATATCTATTTGTCATTCAGTTAAGTTGACTTTATGGCAATAAATATCAGCTACAAATAAGTCATCATTCAATTTTCAAATCATCTAAATGCAATTTGAACTTTTCGTATTTTAATCGTTCAAATATTCTATTTCTCCATCTTTATAATCTGCAATATTATGTGTAATTGTTATCTGTAGATTTATTTGAAGTTAATGAGTTAAAAAGATCAATTAGAATATTTGATTTGATTTGAACTTCTTGCAGTCTAATGTTTCAGTTTTGTAAGCAAATCGACGAAGAATTATGCTTGTTTGAAACGAAATCAGGCATTTTTTCTCAAATTAAGAAGAATGCAATGCAAATTTTGCTGTTTTACATGACATTGGAAGTAAATTTGTTCAGGATCAAATCAGAAGACAGACTAAAGTGGCAATCGTCCTTTTATCTGAAAAACTTTCAGAACGGAGACATTCCCGCTACTGAACTTATGAGTAACTTTAAAATAAGGAAGGAAGAGAATTTCTCTAAAATTTCGCATTACACTGCTTTAAAAAAATGTAAAATTAAAAAATCTTCCTTTTTCTTTTTGTTCTTACAAATACAATTTCTTTTTCAGAAAAATTTTGAAATAATCAACGTCATGGCTAATATTAAGAAGCATGAATAAGCTCAAATTATTATGATCATTCTAATACTTATCAGCTTAATCATTTTAATGATAGAAACATTTCACATTATAAGCTTGGCTAAATTAGTTTTCAATGATCCATAATTTTCCAAATATAACTATTTCTATCTGATCTTTTCACAATCTGTTAATAAATGAAAAGTTAGTCATATTCGAATTGGGCTGTTGTTCTACTTATCACGCTGATATGATTAATACGGCTGAGAGCAAAATAATCTGGCTTTATGGGTTGTAAATAACTCCGAAACCATATTTTAACAGTTAACAGTTTTAAAATTTACCGTACCGACATTGCTCTAAGATAAAATGACCTACTGCCACAATTTTCGAGATTTGAAAAGAATGTATAATTCAAGAAAGATGACGACTGATTGACAGCTCTATATTTGAATCTTTTTAAAGAAAGAAACATTTCTCTCTCGCAATTCACTTTATTCCTCTGCTCAAAAATTCTCAAATGATGAGAAAAGATCCTTCAGTCCGAATTTTCTCGGTCAACGATAAATTACTCCATCAGTGAGAAAATTCATTTTAAAAGGATCATTTTGTCAACAAAAATGTATTTCGTGACCTTAAAATTCTTTATTGAACCTTTTCTATTAATACAATTCTTGATGTAATTCTAACAAAAAATAAAATCGTTGAAAAGAGGATCCAGTTTTTGAGCACATTTTAAAATTCTTCATTCAAAATAAGAAAGAACATATGTGAGAATGAAATGAAACATCATAATACTCCTCATGTTATCATTACCAACAACATTTGAAAAGTTTAACAAAGTATTGTTACAGTTTTAGATCTAATTTTATCATCCCAATCTTTTCAAAAACTTTATTTGTCTTTCATCAAGCCTATGAAACGTAATGCAGAAGAAGATATCGTTCACTAGTTTTAAACAGACCTTAGTTAAACTGAAAATGTCAAAAAAATTAAAAAACATTTCATTTTCTTAAAGAATTTTTATTCGTCTCTCTTGTATAAATGCAATTTCTGTGATTTTAAAACAGCCAAAAATTCTATCTTAATCGCGAGTGAGCCATGCTGTGATATATTGAGATCAATCCGGTCACTTCAATTAGAGTAAGTGCTAATAGAGGTTAAACTTTCATTATTAATAATTCCGATTTTAACATCAGAAAAGTTTTTTCATGGAAGATCAAAAAGATGAAATACAATCCAAAATATTCGAAAGCTTCACAAACTGAACAATATCTCCTAATTTTGAAACGTTTTTTTTCTTTTTCTTTTTGTTAAGAATGAAAATTCAAAATGTAAATTGTATTTGTTGGAGGATAAAAAGATTTAATATGAATTGGTTTTCGACGTTTTACTATTCAACAATTTGTATCTCACTCCATCAAAAAAGTTTAGGTCATTTAAAATATTACAAGTAATATTATCATTAATTCTCACTGAGCAATTATTAGCAAATTTTCCTTTCCCATGGGAAAATTTTTCTTACCAGTAAAGAACTCAATGAAGGATAGACGGTAAATCTTTTATTTTCAGTTAATCCGTTAAGAAGGAATTCAATTATAGGGTGTTCTTAATGCAATGATTTTGTAAAAATGCACACTGCTAGGGACTAAATTTTCTTATTAAGAAAAAAATTGCAAATTATTAAATAGAAGAAAAGCTGAAAAGAAGAATCTCTCTCTTTTAATTATTCTTTATGCATCTCATCGATATAATGATGAAGAAAGCAAAGATATTTAACAAAACATGTCGAATTTTCTCGAGAAAGCCACGAGCTACAAATAATAAGATTATAAAATGCAAAATATTTCGGATTAATTGTAAAAGTTGCTAACTGATTTTATTGATTGCACAAGTTTAAAACTGTCAAGTTTTTGCAAAAGAAATCAAATATAGGCCTTAAAACAAAAACTCTTAAAGAAGACTTTTTGATTTCTCTTACTCATCTTCCATTTTTTCTCAAAATAAATTATCAAATATGCGCTCAATAAAAGTATTTTTCTTTAGTCCAATGAATCTACTAAGTGTTTAATTGAGAAGAATAAAAAGATTAATATAGGAGTTTTAAGAGGATTTCGAAAACAGACGAAAAATTAGTCGAAGTCTCAACTTCAACCTTAACTTTTGAAATTTCCAACCAGTAAGTTATGTGATTGAATAAATCAGACATTATACAACAGTTTCTCGGAGTTCACTTTTACCATCTTTGTGTTTCATCTATCAATTTATCAACTTAGCGCATTTGGAATTCTCTGAAGCAACATCACTTATCGAAGATTATCTTATTACTTATTACTGATATGTTTGAAAAATTCACAATTGTTACAAAACTTGATATATTTAATCCGAACAATTTTCAATTACCAGATTTTCAAAATTAATTAAACTGAAGAATGGTATCATTTTTTTTGAGATGTGGAAGTAATGAAGATCAAAATGTACTCATAAATGTTTTTTTACACGTCTTTAATCGCCTTAAAAAAAAAACGAAATTACGGATTTTCTTACACCTCCTTTTATCTGTACTATGCACTTCAAACAGTTTAATTCTTTTTCCTTTTTATTTCTGTTATGTATTCCCGAATCTAGAACAATTAAATTTCTTCCGAGCAGAGATATCAGTTTATGTTAAATTGCAAACTTTATGACTACTCGAAGAACATGGAAACTATCAAATGATTTTATGAAAGAAAGTGCATAACGAACATTTTAAAACTCAACTTTTTAAAATAATTTCTTCGAGTTGAGATGAGATTTGAGAAAATAGAGATAAGGTTAGATTTAATTTGAACAATTTCAATAATTTAAATAATGAATTTCAATAATTTATGCAAAGATTGTCAAAGGCAGAAATTTTTCACATGCAAATCATAAAACAAGTTCTTATCAATCAGTTAATAGCAATATATTGTCAAATATTGATGGAAATACGAGGATTGTTGTAGTACAGAGACTACAAACAATTCCGTCTGATTTGGTTTTTCCAAGCTTGGAAATTCAGTCAAGCATTAACAGGCATTGTCAAAAGATAGTTTTGAGTGCTTTCAATCATTTGACAACAAGTTCGGCATATTAATATTACCATTTTAGTTCACATTGTTATTCATGACCTTGCGTGATATTTATTCCGTACAGACCGTTCTATATTCAGGAACGGAAATTCGAAAAGCACTGAGGCTTGAAAACCAATCAAATAAGCCAAAAATAGATTGATTAGAGCAGTATTAAGAAATTGAGATTTGGTTTCGTAGGGATAAGGAAAGGTTATATAAAGATAGGATGCAAATATCACGGGCAGATGACTGAGATAGACCTGAAATGCTTCATATTCATTTACTTAACCATCATAATTGCTACCAATAGTTAGTTTAATCTAATCAACCAACTCCTGTATAATATTTTAATTCAACCATACAGATATTGCATAAATTATGTGCATGTAAAAGAATGATCTTACCGAGTAGCACAACACAGAAAGTGGTAAAAATAATTTAAAACTAAGAATTGTATTAATAAAACTGCCATATCCATTATGACAAGCATAAACAAGCCAAGCAATAGCAATGGCAAATGTTGTCCGATGAAATGCTCCATAAAATAGATAATAAAGCTTCCAGTTCAAATTCTACAAATATAAAATTAAACTGATTAAAATAATATTATTTTTGCAGTTTTTGTATTAAATTTTACTCTATTTCTTTGAACTGCCTTTTTTAGTGCAGCAAAATGCTGAGAAACTTACGATCAAAATTGGATAGAGACCGTATATACTGATGAAAGCAAGAAAAATAGCGAAAATCCAGCCACAGACAACAAAAATAGCCGAATGTTGCTTATTATAAATTTTTTTGGCTTGAATTTCAGCCAAATGATGACCAAGCAATAAACCAATAATATATGGTGCTGCACGATACTGAGGTTTGATGTACATAACCACAAAATGCTTTAAATGAAAAGGAATTAAATTTCGTATGAAAAAACGTAGTGATAAATTGTTGTTGATAATTAGGAATTAGCCGTTATCTTTCTATATAAATGTTCTTTATCACCCTTATCACTTTTCATGGCATTGCTTCGTACATTCATTCGAAACACTTCACAATTTAGTAAGTCATGATAATTTCTAGACAGACAGGGCACTCGTCAATTTAATCAGCGGCGGAAAAAAGTCTTACTTTAGAATGCGAAAGGAGATCTATCACTCATATCATTCAAAAAACTTTCCCACGTACCATTCTTCAAAAAGCTAAATGATAATAATCTTATGTCATCAGAGAATTTATGAGTAGTAAATGCACAAACCTCCATAAAATTGGAATTATAAATAGGAGGTCTGTTCCAGCCAAGTTGTGTGGGTGGCATATTGTTAACAATCATTACAAAAATTCGACCTGCATCTGATAAGACTATACAAAGGATGGATAACAGATAACCTCGCTTCTGATTTTGACCAAGTGTTAGTAGAAATATGGGAGACAGGAAGTAAAAGATAAATTCAGTACTTACATACCTGAAATTAATTAATTAAGTTTACTAAAATTAATCAAGTTTTTGCATACAGTTTAGTCAATTGATAACATGAAACATTGCAAATAGTTGATGGAATCTGAAAGTGAAATGAACTGAGAGATTTTGTTTAGATATCGAAGCACTACTCTGATCAAACAACAGAATGCTTCAGTAACTTCTATCTAAAAAGTTTATCATTTTTTACTTACACTTTCAAGCATTAATACCATGGATCACTCACCATGCCCATCCCATACAACGATGTTCAAATAAACTGCCTATAAGTAATAAATTCTGCCACCAATATTTCGAGCACTGCGCGATATGATCAATTTCAGGCCACAATTCTTGATAATGTATACTGGTGAGAAAATATATAAATATCATAGTGTAACAATAAGTTGGCCATAAGCGGACAATTCGATGCACATAGAAATTTAGCCAAAACTTTGAAGATTTCCATGTTGGTTTTGTCTCTAAATTCAAATCAGTTCGAAAACAATCGGCCACATTCATTATAATATACAGCACTTACGATACAGATAATTTGACTGCAATGGAAGTAATTTATTCTTACATTGCTTTTTACAAAATTTTTTTAAAGGAAAACTTAGAATTCGATGATATTTATTTACCCATTTCCTCGTATTTTTGAAAGAACCCGTATGCATTAACTGTCCCACCAAGTACCAAAAATACATCGACAGAAAGAAGAAAATTTGCAATCCACTGATTACTAAAGTTATCAGCGATATCATGATAATATTCGTCAATGTTATCGATATATGGCTGAAATATACCAAGTATATAACTATGATAAAACAACCAGAAGTCCTGTACAGAATAAATAAATTTTAAAAAAAAGTAAAAACGTGCAATGTCTAAAAATGATGTGAAAAGTATAAAATGTTATGAAACAGAAAAAAATTTTGAATGATAGATTTTAATAAATGAATAAGAAAGTTCAAATAAGAGCTTCAATATTTCTTTAGAACAACGAACAGCAACAAAGGCAAACATATGACCAATGATAATCCAAATCATTGTTAAGAATCGTATGCCAAACATACACGTTATCACTTTTGAACGATTTTTCGGCATTTCGAACATCATAGAGATATTTTGCTTCAATGATATCGCAAGAAAAATTTGCTCTTTCATAGTTCTGAAATTAAAAAAGTTAAGAATTTAAATTAATAATCCTTTCAGGATAACAATCATTTATACTAAAATTTAATTGAATTAGAAAAAGAAATCAATAGCTTTCAAATTCTTGTTTTGGGTAAGAAAAAGGAAAAAATAAAATTTGCAATATTTGATGAGAAAAAAAACACACTTTGCATCGGGACCACTTGCAACGTGATAAATAGTTGAAAGGAAAGCAAACAGCCATAGAAGTGTGTTGACAGAAAGGATAGTGACAGGTAAGGGTTTTTTGTACCACTGCAATGGACGACGAGAATGGACACATGTCGAAGATGCGGTATGGTTTTCCGGTAACCCGATACCTGATACCTTCTCGTAGATATCCCAAAACTTTAAATTTATTATTAGATTTTGAAGTGGCAAATTTTTTTTCAAAAATATAAAAAAATTAAAGATAGCAAAGCCTTGTACAGAATTGATATCCGATTTTCCTTTCTTTTTTTCATCCTTATCTTCAGTTACGATAATTTACTTCTTGCTTATGAATAGCATTATGATGTCAGACTACTTTTTAATTGCATTATAAAATTTTTCCAATGTAAATTATATAATTTAATTTTTTTAAATTTATTCGATAGTACCTTATATTGTTCTTCTAAGCAAGATGTTGGAATGCAAATAGTATGTGCAATAGATTTATATTGTTTTGAATCATAACGATAACAGAATGTTGTTGGATGATAGGAAGCTGAAAATGTTGCCTCTTTGGCTAATTTGAAACAAAGCAGCATTCGAAACATCTGTAAAAAATGGTCTTTTTATAAGCAAAATGCAAAGAATATTTTTTTTAATTCAGATTTAAAACTGTTCAATTTTCTGAGTTTATGAGAATTTACTATTCGAATCGAAAAACATTTTAAAAACATTGAAGCTATTCTGTGAAAACTTAAACGATAATGAAATATGTGATAAAAAATTATTTAGAGTAAAATTTAAAAGGAAGGAGGGGGAGGGAGAGAGAGAAAGATAAGTGCTTATTTATGCTAATGATATAAATTATAATATATTTTTACAACATATATCATATATTGTAAAAGTATTAAAGAGTAATACTAACAAATCTGCTATCTGTAATAAATTCATTAGATCTGCCATGCCCAAATGTAGGATAGAATGCGTCCAATGCAATTAATGAAGTAGAACTGGAATTGTGATTAGCGCTGGCCTGGAAATATATATTTCCAATAGTGATTTAATTACAATATACTATTTAAAATAATTCATAAGAATATTTGTAAACAAGTCATTAAAAAAAATTTGTGATGAAAATACTAGGAAGCATTTATAATTAAGAATCAATGCTAATTTATTTCAATTTTTATCTCTTCATTGAACCATTCTGCACATTGTAATCTAAAAAGTACTAATTATTTTGCTCGATCAATCCACTTATTTCAAAATTTTGTTTGAAGAATAATTGCAGAGTGGGAAAATGAAAAATCAAATGTTGCTTCAATTCATTAAAATATTTCACAACACTTTAACTTTTAAACACTGTTAAAAATTCTTGCTACAATATTGTACAATTCGATGCAAGATGCATGCTTACTCTCAATAAATGCTGAAAACAGTGAGGTGACAATGACGAAAGTACTTTTTGCTCCATATCTCTCATGGCCAAAATATCAGTTTGACTAAAAACTACAACCAGTTCTGTTATAATAATTATGATGCAGAACATAACTGAAAGCCACATATTCACTGCAAAAAATAAAAATAGAACTAAAAAATGTAGCAAATTTCAATAAGATTAGTATTTTTCAATCGTTTCAGGTTATCTCCCTACCGTTATCGTCGTATCATTTCATCAGCAAATTTATCCCTATTTGCTATCATCAGCAAAATCTTTACGAATTACAAAAAAAGGCGATATGACCGTAATTTATTATTAACTGTCTAAGAGGAAAATCAAATTGTATGATTTGGCTAGAGTTTCTGCAAAAAATTCCTAATTCAATTATCATAAATGAAAGCTGCAAAATATGATACTGCAGTATATTTCTATAGATTTAGTTATTCCTGAAAACTTACCGATTGTAATTTCTTGAATCCTTAATATTTATCCTTGCATCTTAACATTTCTTGCTCTTTATATATTTTCAAAAATTCCGTGTTCCAAACTCAGAACTATGACAAATTGCAATCAATGATACAGGTAAACACGAAAGAAAGATATAAAAACAGCAAATAATGTTTTATTATTTTTTGCCAAAAAGAAAAAAGCCACAAACATTTAAATTTATTTTAAAACATACATTTACATAATTCAGACATTTTTCTGTGAATGTTAATGATTCAAAAGAATATTTGAAAGTCGCAGTGATGGAGTGATAGGGCACAAAGGAACAACTGAAAATGGTTGTCGCTGCGGCGGATCTATCTCGCAATGGGAGCGCTGTAAGTTCCAGTTTTTCATGGGGTTTGTTCATAAAAACCGGATATGGTTGACTTCACTTCAACTAAGGGTGCAGATTACTGCCGTAAAAATGGACTTGTTCTTAATTAAGACCAATTTAGTTCTTTTCATCATTTTTCAAATACTTTTGAAAGATTGTAAAATTGTTGAGAGGAGTACTCGATTTATATACTCTAATTCAAACAGCAATGCAATATTAAATGTCGTCGAACATCCGTCAACATTTATCATTTTTAATTCGAACTATGAATACTTTTAAGTAGTGGTTAGAAATAACAACTGTTATCAATTGTTCGCCATCAGTTGCAGAATCCGTTTTCGTTTCCAGTCGATCTATGTCATTCCTTCTACGAATTTCATCTGATTGATAGGAAGAATATCAGGAAAGTAAGTTAAAAAATGTGAGCGGTTTTTGTAATGTCACACGTTAAGAGAGCAAGTTCCAGTATAATGAACAACCATCATTCAGCACCCGTTCGGCAATACTTCTAGAAATCTGTTAATTTGTTTGTACTTTTCACACCATAGAAATAAAAACGATAGATTTTATTCTGTTACTCCCTCATTAATTGCTAAGAGTGAGAAAACAGGAATTGAGCAATAAAATAGGTTACATATTAGAAAAAAAATGAATTATTTAACATTGAAACCATGCACAAAAGTAATTTTTGTAACATACACTTAAAAAAGAATAGCTAACACGAAAGAATAGCTTAAAGCTTAAACTTATCATCATGAGGATTCGTAACTATACCAGAAATTACAAGGTTATTTAATGAATCGACAAACATCCAGAGTAATTTGCTTCTATTCTAAAAGAATAAAACGCAATATTTGTAAAAACGATTTAAATAAAAAATCTGTTCCACTTCTAGCTAAACTATCCGGATCTTATTAATACTCTCTGAATTATTATTTTTATAATCTGTTTTTGATCATTGGCTTCCAAATATATCTGTATATTTCCAAAACTTTCATTTATTTCTCGCATTCAATGCCTTATAATAATAAAGCTACAAATATTACTATTACAGTAATAATATTCAGCAATTTTATTGCTAGCTTAAAGCATGTAAATAAAAATTTATGAAGTGCACAAATTCAAGAGAATATGCAAGAATTATAGTTAAATTAAGTTAATGATTAAATCCATATAGCCATTACTTATACAAAAAGACGGGAAGAGGGACAGCCGTATCATGGATATACACAATAAATAATTGAAATATTTAAAATATGACTAAAGATTATTAGCAAGTTGGATATCATTTCTAATAGAAATGGTGCATAAAACTTAAGTTCTGAATTTGCTTTCAATTAAACAATTAAAAGCTAAATCGCTGGCTTTCTAATATTGAGCAAGGTACGAATACAAGTACTGCTTCAAAGTGAATGAAGGCACTACACACTTGAATTCCATTCATTAAAAATTCTAACAGGAATGAAATAAACTCAGTGAAAAATCGATATGTAAAATGAATGAAATTTATTGTAGATCCCATATAATGTATGAAATATAAGCACTAACTACCACAGCAAGCATTTCGACATAGGATTCATTGGTGAATTTGGTGGACATTTGAAAACTTCGGCAAATTCGGGCTGATTAACGACTACGCCATTGACACGGAATCGGAGTGGCGCATGTTGACCGGTTAGTATTTGTCTGATTAACGCAGCTGGTCGTGAATGCCCACACCACATCTATAATATTTTTCTTGAAGTTAAGTTTAAAAGTTATAAAGGAGAAAATAATTACATTCAAACCTGCAACCTTTCAAAATTTTAATGTTCTGTTCGTTCAAAAAATACATTACCTAATTTTAAATTAATTTTGAATCTGCTTATTTTTCAACTGACAGTAGTAGAAAGTTTTAAATTTTGAGATTTTCATGGCATCAAGTTTCATACTAAATATACCTCTTATGAATAAAATGCAATAAAGAAACAAGATTCACTTGTGCACTACTTAAAAAGAATATTTGATTCATATCGAGATGTTCGAGTCCTGGCAAGCGTTTCTCCTCATGACCAATTTTTTTGATGTGATTTCTATATGCCTGAAGCAAGTTTTTATTGAGAAAAAGTTATAACACATGATTTTTGCTTTTTCCAGTAATTTTTTTTCAAAGAATTTTTCAGATAATTTATGCCAGAAAAAACAATCCAAACTTGAAATATTAACGACGGAATCAAAATCTCAACACCGGAAAAATAAAGATTTATTGACAATTTTTTGTTTTTACTAGACATCTGTACATATTCTTCAAAAGATTTAAAAATTTACAAAATATAAAATTAGTATAGTCTGCGGTTTTGGCAAAAATTTCAAAGAGATAGAACCCGAAAAGCTTCTTTAACACCGCCATTGTCAGCAATATTTTCATCCAATGTACGTAAACCACTGATATGCAAATTTGTTTCAGGAACAACGTAATTGTTATATTTTTTGATGAAACAGTCTTTTTTCTCGTTGAAATTCCTCTTTGTTGCACTATCCCACCAGTCACGCAAGTTACCCTGGTAGTCAAACTGGCTTCCTGTAAAGAGTCCATTTCACTTTATATCATTTGTTGTGTTCAGTCAACGATATATTTTAATAAGTTAGCATGTAGATAATTAGAATTACTTCGTACTTTCGATATAAGTCATAAACATTGTTTTTAAAAGAGTCTTGCAAAGCACTGGTAGTGCAGATTAGTGCTGCATGAACGGTAATGAACTTTTTTTTTCAAATGAATTAAAAATATGACTGTTGATTACATGTATTTAAGATGTAACGAATATGTATATGTGATTATATGTGATTATAGTTACCTTGGTCGTCGAATCCATGAATTATTTCATGCCCAATAACCGATCCAATGCCACCAAAATTCATCGCTCTGAAACAGAAGTTATGATGCTAATTACAACTCAAAATAAAAAATGGGCAAATTATTATGTTGTTTTTTTTTTCTTTTGAGTTATATAAACTGTAAAATTGAACGAAAATTTTCGAAATATAGTTGGAATTCTCCTACAAAAAATAAGAGAAAATTTCACTTCGGGAAAGTTCGATCAAAAAATGGCGCTTGAAGAATGGCTGCCGGAAACACTGAAATTAATTAGAAATGGCAAACCAAAATTAGAATTTTTAACTTAGATGTTTTTATTATGTATATTCCAAATTAGCATTAATTTCAAATTCTCCAAAGTCAATGTTAGAAACTAAAACTTAATATGTAATATATCAAAAATGTCTTTTGATCTTGAATGCATCCCAAAGAATGCCATCATTTTTAAACATTGGATAAGAAATCAACAACTAAACAAGCAGTGTGAACTAACCAATAGCATTTCTAAACGACGAATAAAAAGCATTTACTACGGATGCTGAGGCACCAAATTCTGTCCTTTTGACAGGTTTCACTAGTTTTCGGTATGAGCGTTCGACCGACCACCGTGACGTCTTTGTTATGGTTTGGGCGAATGTGTCATTAGGATAAATATGCAACTGTAAATTAAAAAATTTCAGCAATTCTATAGAATATCTTTTTTATACAAATGCTATTTCCAATAACGCGTTATTCGCAGTCGTGTCTCTGTAACTCTAACGATTGTGGAAAAAATTTTCCAAAAATAATTATTATAAAGAAAATGTATTTGCGTACTAGTTTGTAATATTCATCGAGATTTTTGGTATTTCGGATGAATTCTGGATAGCCAATCAAACTTAACATTTCATTGATCTTTTTTAATGCTTTCTGCCGAGTACTTTCATGCAGCCAATTATATTCTCCCAGCATTTCTTTGAAAGCATCTTTCAAATGATTCACCATTTCGAGTGCTGCTTGTTTGTCAGCCTATATATGGACTTATAATAAAAATAACAGGTAAGAAGGCTGTAACAAAATTCAAAATTGAAGAAACAATGGTGTTATTATTTTGAAATCATACTTCATTAAAGAAGGAGTTGACATATAAAGCTCCTGAAGCATAACCCATTCGTTCTACAGCTATTTCACTGCAAATCTTCCATCGTGATGACTTCATTTGTTTTCCGATGATAGTGCGAAGAAACTTCTGAAAAAATTTTCCCAGTTTCTTGCAATCCAAATAATGAAATATAAAATCAAATAATAAATAAATGTAAAAGATGCAAGGTAGACTTGCAAGGTTATGTAATGTGTACATGCTACAATAATGATAATATTTCCATCGCTAGTTATATTTGAAATTACGACATTATTTAATTGTAATAGTAAATGTTAAGTTTTTGGAGACCTCAAATATATTATGATAAATTCTACTCTTGAATTCATTAAATTTCCTTCTTTCGCTATAAACCTTTTCCTCAAAATTACCTGATGAATGTCATCGTATCGTTCATCCAACTGAAAATTCCATGTCGATGTATAAAGCCATATCATATAGTTTGCCAACGTCCGTTTAGGCGTCACCTGAAATTTCGCATTTTTCTGATATATCAGATAAATCTGATAGTACTGTTGTTTATAAAATTAAATCTGAAACTGAACTCAAGTTTATAGGAATTATAATTGTTGTCATAGCCTTTTCTTTCTCTCTCTTTTTATTTATAATATCTAATCACATTTCTTATTCTCGCATTCGTTATGAATAGCAAATTTCCTATACTTATCGCATTTTAATCTGATATTGACGCCAGTTTCTTATTTTTCTCATTCGATGCTGCGAATTTTATATGAGTAATTTTTTGTTTCGCTTTTTAAACAGAGCAAATGTATTTTATAAGAGAACATGCATACCTTTATTAGTGCATCAAGTTGTTTCAAGAATTCCACATCAATAATATTTATAATAGGGTCTTTATTTAGATACCAATGTAGATCAGTGGGAACTACAGTTCGAAAGTACTTGTTCCAGTCCATCTAAAAATTAGAACATATTTGGAATAACGACGCTCGCTGTTTTTTTTCAACAATTGTTCATATTTTTCGGTCATCAACAAACTAAATGAAGTATTTACACTTCATTTAGTGTTACACTAAATTTTTTTTCTATACAATTACATTTTTTATTCCTTTCCTTAATAACCGATATGTATTGAGAAGAACAGACAAACGTATAATCATCGAAAATGGTGGACTAATATCAGCGTTGGTTATCATTTTCATAGGCTAAAAGTATTGTAATGTAAGAATTATATTCTACCTAAGCAAGATTAGTTGAAGACAATATAGCTAATCAATAAATTCCCGAAAGAGGTTGCAATTTTAGTTGTAATTCATGGTTGATTTATCTCTGCTTATCTAAAATATTCAAATTACATATATTGCACTACAGAGAGTTCAAAATGATAGAAAATAATATTTTTTTTCTGCATGAAATTCAAAATCATTAACCTCCGACATAAAGGTGGTCAGATCACTAAGATGATATTGATGGTATAGCAAAGTATAGTTCCTTCGATTTTCCTCTGGAACCATAATCTGTAAAATATAAAGATAAATTTGCCTTTTGTAAACAAATTTTGCAAACAAAAGGAATCTACCACAACAGAAATATATCGATACAAAAAACAACAAACCTGAGCAAGCTTCTTCTCAAAATCGATGATATCATTGGCTTCGTTTTCGATTTCAGTTCGTTTCTTCGATATTTCAACATCGTGTGAGACGAGCATTGCCTAAAGTTAATATATGTATATATACTAATCTGCAAATCGCTTAAGTAAATTTCATATACATTTGAAAACATATATTAAGCAATGTATCGCACATTTGCTTAGACTTATTTGCAAAAAATTGAAATTAAACTGAAGAAATTAGCTTTTAACAATTACTTTGTCAATAATATATTCCTTATAAGCCTCCAATTGTGGCGCATAATTTTTAGCATTCAAATAGTATTCTCTAGCACCAAAACCAAGTGTAAGTCTTCCTTGATCAATCTGAAAAAGTTTCATTTATATATCTTTTGAAAATTTTGAAATCTCATATAAATTCATTTTATTGTATCTCTACTTTAATTAATAGTTTTGTGAATTTTGGAATCAAAAATCACAAACAAGTTCATATTTTTCTTTTCATTTATTTAAAAAATTGTTGTCAATTAACCATAGTGAAAACACTTCCGTTATTTAAAGATGACAAATTTGCTTCAAAATATGTCAACGAAAACATTACACCATCCGAAATTATTAAAAATAACTACTTCATATTGCCACCTTTCCTTCAGTCCGAAAAAAAATAACGCATCAAAATCATGCAAAACATCGATACATTCAAATAACATTTTTGGCATTATTTCGAATGTCTTTTTGAACTTTTCTGATCCATATAAGATATGAAAACCCAAATTGAATTTCATTATAAATTTATGCAAAAAAAAAGAAAAGAATTCACTTACATGAATCAAACGTCTTGAAACATCTTTTTGATCAGTTGACACATAGATATTCATGAAAATGCTAGTAAATCGCGTCTGTGCAATTCGAATCATTATTTGCGTGAAATTGAACTTTTCCTCGGACCATTTCTGTCCATATACTATTGGCCAAGCACCAAGGTACTGGAAAAAATTCGATGCAATTACAAAGTAATATAGCAAAATTGACAGCTAAAATTAAATTTAAATATTCCAGATTTTCTGGCATTACTTAGGAAATGTTCAAATTCACATTTAAGTTAGAATTAACCATCTTCAATAACTTAAGTTTGTGAATCAGGTTTCTTCCTCATATTAATAATAAAATCGCTGAATTTTTATTCACTGGTCAACTGAATGAGAAACAAAGAAGTCCATCACTCAAAAGTTCAAGAAAAGCTCTTTAAAATACACCTGTAATATCTCAATGATTTCGCCATAAAATTTCCATTCGAGCAAATGTATCATTTATTATGATTAACCCGATTAGAAAATAAGGCTGAAAATTTTTTGAACCTCAATGGCCTCAACGATTTCTTTCCCTTGCATACTGCGTATTCGATCAGTGTCCATACAAGCGTGATATATCGTTTTCACTGCACCCAGTGCTTTTGAATTCGTCGACTGTTTTGAATCGTAAAGTTCTGAAAACATTGCATCAGTTTAGAATTGGACTTCATGTAACTGCTAACATTTACAAAGTGTGACAAGCGCAAAATTCTAATCATGATGTTCTAAGCTTATGGATCAGATTCAAAGTCTTTCATGATAATTTGTTAAATTATAGATGTCTATATTAAATAGAAAAAATGATATCGTGGACTGATAATCTTTGCAGAATAAATCAATTCAAAGTACCTTTCATTTTTCGTTCTACTTTTTCACGAACTGAAGCATAAACCTCATATGTAGCAAGATCACTCGGAATCGGATGCTCAGATATCCAACGTCCACAAGCATATTCAAAAAAATCATCACATGGATTCACGGTCTGATTCATTGAAGAAAGCAAATAATAAGCTGCTTTTAGGTAACCTGACGAAGTACCAACATTCAAATCTTTCATACTATTCGGCATAATTGTATCTAAAAATACAATGCATCTTGCATGTAATTATAGAATTTTAAATTTTGATAAAAATCAGAACCTTCAGAAGCGGGCTTACCGGTCATAGCAGGATGTGGAAATGAGAAACCGGAGAAAACATTTGTCAGACATATTGCCAAAAAATGATGAATGCTCAACATTGCTCCAATTACTTTTTATAGATTGTAGTCTTTAGTTCTTGAAATTAGATATTTATTCAACAATAGATTCCACAAAATGTCTTTAATTTTTTAAATAAAAAAATTTAATCCTGATGCACAACAAAAAAACTATACTCACCAAAAGAAACTAATCTGATAGTATTCATTAAAAAAAGTAAGAGTTGGATGTTTTTTTTTAATTGTAAGAATATAAAAACAAATGAAAGAAGTTCATCTTATTTAACTCATCATGAAGTAATTCATAATAGTAAATAACTTGGGGATTATTCATCGTAACATCAGATCGTAGATGGCTATAAGGGATCATGCTTGAAATTACGGAAAAGTTGATATACAAACTAATAAGCAACTGAAACATCAAAGACGTCACTAATGTTTGCCTTACCAATTAACAAATATTTACGCAATTTTAATGAAGGAAGGAGGAATGAAAGACGAGGAAAAGAGAAAAAAGAGTTATTTAAGGCAAAAAATAAAAAATTAGTTAAAGCAAACTTACAAATTTCCTTGGTGTATGTGGTTAATTATTATTTGTTACTTTTTTTCTCACTAAAGTACATCAATCCATTGATTTCTGTAACAAAAATAATATCATCAAATCAGAATTACAGCAATGTAAAGTAACAAAAAGCATGAAATTCCAGTTTTTTTGTTCGACTACAGTAAGTCATGCTTTAACTATAAGTTAATAAACTACAGTACTGCAACAACTGAGCACGGCTAAACAGAAATACAAACTGCCATTTCCTACGAAACTCAACATTTCTCGATCACGTGAAGAGGACATTAAATAGTAGTTTGAGATCCATACTATTAAAAAATCATTTTTTGAATGAGTAATATTATCTAAAATATAGTAGGGTTAAGAAGAATAATTTTTATCTGTAAAATTTGTTCAAAATCAAAAATAGCAGAAAAAGGATATAATCAGTACACCTGTAAAAAAATATTGTATTTAATCAGAACGTCAAATAATGACTGTAATGATATTTAGCCAATTCTAATAAGTGCTAAATTCTTACTACTCAATTTCCATTTCAACCCGAACAATAAGACAGCAAAATGCACCAAATTTATTAGCATTTCGAGCGAGGAACTTTTTAATAAACCCTGCAAAATACTGATTGATTTATCTCTTTCTTATTTATAAATTTTTTATAAAATTATTCTTCAATTTATTTATAAAAACTATTCTTCAATGTTATTCAAATAGACGTGGAAGCTAAATTCAATTCAAATTTGTATATATAAAATCTACAAATGTTAAAATTATGGATTAGAACATAATGTAACACTAGAAATGTGAGAGAATTAAAGAACCGAATTGCTAAAATTAAAATAGAAATTTATATTAAAAAAAAACTCTGCTTACCGTCAGAAAAATCACCAAGGTATGACACCGATCAAAAAAATTTTATCGTTTTGTAAGTGATATCAGATTCCTGTTTCTGATTTCCATGGAAATAATTAGTTGTTGAGATCAGTTCCAGGAAAAATAAGACTAGAAATATGAATGATTTAAAAATTGCAAAATCATCCCATCACTGTCTTCTAAAAAAATTGACTTGAATGAATGATGTAAGACTAAGAAGAAGACTGGTCGAAATATTGCATGCCAATATTCAGCTATGCTCATATCATTTTATCAGGAGAATATTGCATGAACTGATAATTAATCGTATCTGATGGAAACGACCAAACCTGTTATTATTCACTTTTTTCATAAGCAGTATCTACAAAGTCAATTATGCTTTATTTTATTAAATCTGCTGAAAAAAAAACTTTGGTAGATCTTATAATCTTTTCTTACTTCTCGCTAACTTTTATTTTATAAGTAAAACACAAGTATGAAAATTGTAATTTAATCAATACTTTGTAAAATAGATTTATCCACTCCATCAATATCGTCCTCTTATTTAATTTCTTTTATTTATGCTTTATGGTCTTCTAATCCCATTTGACTGTTTCATTTCTGCTACATTTTAGACTCATTTTAGCTCTTTAAAATTAGCTTATTACCACTCAAAGTATACAGTTAGTGAAAAAATAGGAATATAATTTTCATTATATTGAAGAAACTGAACTATGTTTAGCTGCTTAGTTAGCTCCTCGAATGATGATTCTTACTATATTTATTCATAAGAAAAGGTTTCGAAATTCCAATTTCTTTTTTGATCTAGTCAATAGTACCTATTTCTTATCTTAGAAGAACATAAATGAAAAGGCGCTATCGTACGAAGGCAATGAACTAGTGAAGATCAATATCACAATGCCAACCAATTTATCAGATAACAATCGCACAATTACGATGAAAAGGTAGTTGTTCTTCAGTGATTGGTAATTTATAATAATCCTGTAGTATTTGAAATAAAAATTGCGCACAAAACAGGAGCGATAATGAATAATTCACTTTCAATCCTCGAAAATAGATGAAAATGAAGAAAAACAATAAAAAAAGCAATAACTTTTCAAAAAGCAATAACTAATTCATTAATCAATAATTCAATCTTTTTAATATCCAACGATTATGAACACGGATATGGCATCTGATATGGTAATAATTTCAATAATTACTGATACGAAATATTTTATATTTTCAATGATACAGATACTAGAAAGTTCTTTTGCATATTGCTCATTACAAATTATACATTTAATGTACTGATAATAGTAAATTTCAGTTTTAGTCTTTTTTTGAAAAAATATGTGGTAGAGAGGAAAGAAATTAGAAAATCACTGATTATAGCTTTGACTCGATTATAAACATTTATAAGCATTTATACAAGTCGAATGAAAGACAAAAGTAACAAAAACATTAATAGTCTTTGTATATAAGCGTGATCGTTTCTTAAACTTTGATTGTTTTGATTTCGTGTTAATAATTACTGACAATGGAGATAACATATTAAGAATGTGCACATATAATTTACCATCACTAAATACCCATTAAATTTAAATCGATCGATCAATTATACCATATATCGAAATTGAATCACTACTGCAGTAACGAATGCATTAAAGTTAATGAAAGAGTAAATGTAATAATAAGCTCACTAATGAAAGATAATTAATATTTTTGTTGATGAAGAGGAAAGAAGTCTTTATTTCTTTGCAGGCTTATTGCAATTTTAAATTTCATGAAAGATTTTTATGAAAATTATTGACTCCAAAAAGGTTTATCAGAATTTAAAATCAAGTTTAAAAAAAGTAAGGATGGGGAAATTCTCAAGAGATTTCCCGCTTGTATTGTTGTACAAAAAATCTCTCATTCTCCTTATTTCCCACACTCTTTCTCCCGTCCGTGTAATTGATGTTTACAGCTATTCACTTCCCTGCCAAATTTGCGGAGTGCTAAGAGATAACGCGTGGGTAGTTGGTTTGGAATGATAAGTTATGGTAGACCTTATAGAGAGAGAGAGGGGCAGAGAGGGAAATCATTTTATTGGGAATAGTATGAGAGGTCATTTCCTCAGATTGTACGAGTTCGACAGTGGCGTAAATTTGCATCTTCTTAGTTCACTATATTCGTTAAGATATCAATTCTTAATATTACGTTTGACATTGAGAATTTTGGAATACTATATTGCGTAAAGTACTTTACACTCTGCGTTGTCCGCTAAGTTTATAACAATTGATAGTTTAGGGAATTACTGTTACCTTAATTTAAAAATTTATTCAGAAATTCTAAATGGGAGCAAAAATTAGCAGTGAAACATTGATTGGAGAAAATGCATACCTACGACGTTTCGTTGGTTTGCAACCGATCAGTGATAATGATCCATTCTGGAATCACTTCCTTTCCTTCAACTTCCTTATCGATTTCAATGACAGGTTACTCGTCATTATTACTAAGCACCAAGCGAGATTAATTAATTACCGCTAGTTATAAGATGCTGGAAGTTCGAAGTGTTAGACCGTTGCCGCTATTATTCTCATGAAGTTTGCAGTTGGCAGTTAATTCGAAAGAGCAATCCTTCGAAACTGTCTCTTCCAGCTGACAATCAAATGTCAAGTCTAACTCATCGTATGTTTACAAGTCTAACTTATCGTGTAATTAGTGCAAAACGATTTTAGTCCTTTTTGTTCAGAGAGTGCCTTATATATTTCTTATTATAACATTTTTAATGCAAATGTCTTTTTTTTATTTAAAGGAAAGAAGTCGAACAATTTGATGTTTCTTTATCGGATAGTCTGCAGTCGCTGATGTATAACACGCCAACAACTTGTAATTTCGCATCATTTATTCATGTCTTCCTCAGACGGACAGCAGAGCTAAAAGCTTCAGAAATTTGCAACAAGTAAAAAAAATTGCTACCATTTTTGGAATAGCTTTTTTGAGAAATTGTAATTTCTACTAGGATTTCTACCAGGAAGTTTTTTACTACAAAATAGTTGTCAATTCATTTGTTTCTCTTACATTAATATTTTTCGAGATATGTGTGGAAAATTAATAGAATCTTCTAGTACTATCGAGATGATTTTGATTGTAAAAGCATTACGTGGTGTTTTGCAGCACAATTTTTCTTTGGCAAACAGGAAATGCGTTAATCATTCTTCGGTATATTTGCAAGTTTTTGGTTCAAAGACTTAATGAGGCTGAATTCATCAAGGTTTTCCACATGAATAAAAGCTATTTGGAGAAAAAGGAAGGTTAGTTATCTTATGCTCTGCCCATCTTTCCATCTTTAAATGTATCAGATGGTCTAGAAGAAGATTTAATCGTTTTTTTCTGAAGTTTTTTCATGAATCTTTTTTTTTCAAAATGTTTAAACGCAACAATTTAGAAATATTTTGTGATCAAAATGTTCCTAAATTACTTCTGACAGTTGTAATCAAAATTTATTAGTTTCTTTTCAGCATATGATTCCGATATTGATGAAGAATTTGATGGTTTTTGTAAGAACAAAGCGGAAGAATTTTTGGACAGTCTGGTGGATATTTTGATTGATTTGCCTTCCAAGTAAATTATCTTCTATATTTTAAGTCATCGGCATTGCGATTTCAAATTATAAATAATCGATATATCTTATATTTATATATTTTTTAGTGATTCCACGGAAACGATCCACATCGAAGCTGTAAAATGCCTAATAGCTTTGCTTAGTTCTCAGCTTTATGACGACGATGTCATTAAGTCAAATATTTTCTACGGATATCTAATGCAAGGCAGATGGTTAGCCTTGCAATACTTTCAATGTAATTAAAGCTAAATTTTTAATTGTGTTCATTCAATAGAACCTGTGAAAATTATATTTTTTTAGCTCGACAAAGTCTCTGGAGCTCACTCGAGCCTTAATATCAAATTATCTGCAGCGAAACACTCCACGTGTTATCAAACATGAAAAAGAACCGGAAAGTATTGTTCTGGGCCTTGCCGGTTCGTCTCATTTCAAGTCCCTTTTTTTTAAAGCTGAAAGATGTGTACGCGCTTATTGAAATCATCGCTTGTTAACGCTTCTCGTGTTTGTAATTACTGAATGGTTGCTTTTAGCAGTTAGGAGTAACTTCAACAATTATGTTATTCGAAGGCAGTACCAATTTTGTAAGCTTTGCTCATGAAATTACTTATGCATATTTAAGCATTCGTTTGGTCAGCAGTGCAAATTGTCACGGGCATGGATGATTCGAATTCAAGTAGCTCTGACAGGGAAGCTACCCCTCCAGTCTCTCTTGGATCGTTGTCTGTGCTTCTCCTACTTAATTTAGCATGCCATCAAGATCCAGGAGCAAAGCTGAATCCTTATAAGGAGTCGCTTTCGAAATTCCAAAATTCTCAAGGTAATCTGGTGATTTTTTCGGGTTTGATATAATTGTCATATCAATATTATACTCTATAAAACTTGAATGGAGCTGCTGCTAACCACTAAGTTTGACTTTGGTAATACTTTGGTGATATAGGCTCTTAACCTCTCCAAAATTTGCAAAAAGTCTTAGGTACTTTTAGTACTGATTGTCTTTGATAAAGGAACTCAGAGCAGTGATATGATTAATTCATATAATGTACATCGTATATATTTAACATTTATTGTTATCCTGATTCTTAGCGAAGAAGTTAATTGTTAACAATCAATTTTTTTCTTCCCACTCACTAATATGGATTTGACATTTCTAATTTGCAGAAGTTTCATCGCTGAACAATAGTGAAGCTAGTATATTCAAGCTAGATTATAGTTTCTTATACGAACGTTTATGTGCTACAGTAAATCAGGAATCGCCTATGTTATTTCTGTATATATTGTTGCATAGGAACGTTGGTTTTCGGAATTATGTTCTTTCAAGAATTAATTTAGAAAAACTGGCAAGTTTTTGATGATCGTTATTTTTGGAGCTAGTAAAAAATTCAGTTGATTTAGAAGATGTGTTTAGGTCAGCTTTTTAATTGAACAGATTTTGAGATTGGATTTGGGATGCTGTGATATTGCTTTTTATCGCCATGATTGTTTCAGCAATCAGGAATTATTTGTTTTAGGTACTTCCAGTACTGATTGTTCTTAATAATGGAGCGCAAAGCAGTGGTATGATTAATTCATATAATGCACATCATGTATATTTAGCACTTATTGTTATCCTGATTCTTAGCGAAGACGATTTTTTCTGTAAAGTTGCGCATGAAACGGTGAGGCATTTTTTTTCAGCAACTTCAGCACAGTTACATCACCGGTAGTATAAAAGGTGGTGATTGTACGGGATAAGATTTTGAAAAGAAGTCACGGTTTTTTTAATATTTATTTTATCGATTTTTTCAGCTTATTTTTAAAAAAAATGTTTAGATGATAAAGGATACAACATGGTTCAACAGTGAACGTCCGTTAGGAGAGATTTCACTGGGTGGTTTAATTATCTTGGTTTTTGTCCGCATTATACAACTCAACACTCTGAAAACAAAGGTTTGAATTGTTGAAAACGCAAGTCTTGTTATATAATATTTTCTGAGTGTTAATATCAGACAGTCTTGTAATAAAATGCATTATTATGTGTAATAAAATATATTATTCGTTTAGATTTCTTTATTTGATTATCCGATCTTAAAAAATTGCTGCAATGCTTTGAGATCAGACAGATTAAAATTGCTCCTTTTTTGAGGCCAGAAAAGATAAAAGTGATACTTCGTTTTTTCAGCGTCATTCATTTTCTGTTGCTTTCTTATTTTCACTAATTCAGTGATTTTACAAGTCCAGATATCTTGTAATATTCATTATATTCATTTTTCCAGGATCGTTACCTGCATACAAATTGTCTTGCAGCTTTAGCTAATATGTCATCATATTTTAAAAATCTGACATCCATTGTTTGTCAAAAACTGATCGGATTACTTGAGGTACGAAATTTTTAAGTGAAATTTCGCATAAAATTAATTCTTGGAGCTTGCGTGGATTTTCCTGCTAAATATTCTTGCTTAAATAATTTAAATCATCAATTTGCACTATTAAGAACAACCCTATTATTCCTATTATTTATTTTCTTGTATCCTATAAATTACTAGTGATGGATTCATCTGTTTTGTTTGTTTATAGTAATTATAAAAGTTCTGGTTGAATAATTCAGTTGAATGCATTTGAACAAGGCTCATGTTCAGTTTCTTTGCAGTTTTATGGCAAACTAGTATAAATACTCATTTTTTAGGTTTTTACTCGGCGGCATGCAAAACTAATTGAAAATATGCGCGTCAGAGCTGAATATGATATTATGCAAGAAAAAGAGTCGCATAATTATGTAAATTTTTCAATAATTTTCATTTATTCATTCATAAATTATGGAAAAACTGTTTTATTTACCAAAATGTCTTATAGCATAAAGATATAACGGCTTTGGAGGAAGGTATACGCACTTTACTCGAAATTTGCAACAGTTGCCTTACTTCAAATCTTCGCTCAAACCCACACTTTATTTATACTATACTTTATAAACGTGATCTGTTTGATGCTTTCCAAAATCATCCAATGTTCCAAGATCTGATTTGGAATATTTGTGCGGTAAGAAAAATTTTTCTTTTTAAATCGGTTACAGATTTTTGTTTCAGTATTATGTAGATATGTAAGGAAAAGTGCTGCTGCACTTAAAGTAGTCTAGTTCATTTTAGGAGGAATTCGGGTTTTTCTAATATTTTAATTTTTTTAAAAATATTTCATTTTTATGCTTTCTTGATATTAAGATCTATCAGATTCAGGTTATTAATCATTTTGCATCACGAGTACAACTTCTGGAAAGAGGATCGTCAGTCAGCGCTGTTCTTGCTACAATCGAGAAAGGAGCTCTCCACTGGCCTACTGATAGGTTCGTTTTTTGGGGGGTGGACACTACTTTTGTTTTTTTGTCTGCATATTGCGTTTTTTCAAGTATGTACTTCTTTTTGCTTTTACAAATTTGTAAAAGTTGAATATATTTAGTTGCGAAATTCCATAAACTTTTACTGAAAGGAAAATTTCTAAATAAATTATCACTTTAGTGGTGCATAACACTGGATTTTTTAAGTTTGCGCAGACAATATCATTTTAGAGTACATTGTTTCAACTTCCGTAAGCAGATTTTCTTGTGATATCTGCTAGCTGGAGTTTTGTAAATCATAGTCAATCAATCGAATGTGATTGATATTTGCTACTATTTCTGCATTCTTTTAAAAATTTGTTTTTCTTTAGGCTGAAGAAGTTTCCAGAGTTGAAATTTAAATATGTGGAAGATGAAAATACAGTGGAATTTTTTGTTCCATACGTTTGGCGATTGACATTCCAATTTTCAACGTTATACTGGGATGCAACACGTATACGCCTTTTTAATACTTCTTTTCTTGCTTAATATCATTGATTTTTTATGTTTTATAAGACAGTGTTTTTATTGGTGTAAACTGATTTTTTCTTAAGAAATAGGAGATGAGTTTACTAGTGAAATTATTTGCATGTGATATATTGATCTATTTTCGGCTTCATTAAAAACTCAAAGTTTTTAGTTTTTGTAACTTATCGAACAAAATGTACTACATCTGTCTCCAGAAGGCCATTTTTGAATTGCTTTAGTGAAGAAAGTTATAGATTATTTAAAATAATCTACATTTTTTCAGTTGTTCAATGGAAGTTTTCAAAATTATTTTCAAGTTATTTTGGTCTGTTTTACTCTATTTTTGTTATGTTTTGAGCTTGATCTGCCAATATACAATTGAACTGATGAGGTATCAGTTATCTATTGCTGCCCTTATCTTATCTGTAATTTATTGGGTTAAGAATAAAATTTAACTTGTACTTTGTCTGTAAAATAAATTTTGTCAAAATACTTTTCTTGTTCTTTAACACTGTTTTACTTGTTAAACTGGAGCTGTCATTCAAACTGGAATGAATTTTAGTTGATGTTTTACAATCCTGTTTGAAAGGACATAGCTATGATTCTAGAGGAATGATAGGTAACTTTTATGAAATGTCCTGTAGTTAGTTTTTTGGTTTCAGTTCTACTAATCGAAATACCTAATTACTATTTATGGAATATATATATATATATATATATATGGAATATTAGATTATGAGGATGCTATAATTTTGCTGCGGACCGGATTTTTTTGGACATTGACATTAAGAAAGGAAGAGTTGATGGAGGAAAATGTTTCGGTTACTTTTCTTTGAGAGTTTCATAAAGGCATTGTTTGTTACTTTAGTGAAAGTGCGGGATAGACATGGACTGCTTTTATGAAATCGCCGTTGCCGACCGGTTTCTGATAAAGATTTCTTCATACATTTCACGAGCTATGATTTACATTTTAACTGAGTGATGAGTCTTGTCGGAAATACAAAGCGTGAATGTCAAATTAATTCCGCATCAAGTGTTTTTGACCTTAGAATAGCAGTGGATTCATGGATGAATGATTCAATTTCTAAGGATTTAGTGACCCAAAACGTAGATTTTTTTCTTTATTTGAACTCTTTAATTCTATTTTTGATTATACACATCGAACTGTAGAAAGAATCATTTACTAGTACTGCTGGCACTATTTTTTATATTTTTTTTTCGTTTAATGTTCGAAAAACCGATTCATCTGATAAGAAAACTAACTGTTAAAAGATATGCTGATGGCGATTTAACATTGAAATACATTCTTGGAATTATTTTGCTGAAAGGTCCGGATGATTTTGTTGTACACTTCGCAAAGAACTCGTTTATGTGAATTTGATACAGTTCGATAATAATGAAAGTTCTGTAGTTAATAAGTGATGCAGAAGACGAGGGCGGACAGTTGCGCAGAGAAACATAGAAAAGAGGAAAGTACTTGGTAACCGTACCAAACATTTAACCTTGTTATTGGGTTTCATTTGGTGTGTCGATCGAATGCTCGATAACTGAGCATCAACGAGGATGGATACTTCACACCTTTAAATGCATTTATAAAATGCAGCATCGCCTCACTTGACCTATATTTTCAAATGACAGCAATCATCATCTTTCTGTAATTCTTTCGACAAATTTTCAACTTGCTATTGTTTTTAATGTTTCTCGTCATTCTGACTCCTGTTTACTGATGATGCATTTTAAATTATGAAATGAAATACGATTTATAAGCATTAGGATTACGAATATTTAATGATAGGTTAAGAGTGGATCTCACAAAAGTTAATCTAGATTTTCAGATCATAAATTTTCAGATCATCATAACCTTTTATGATCTGAAAATCTAGATTAACTTTTGTGACAGTTAGTTTATGTCTGTGATATTATACGAAAATACTCTTACCAGTAATGTGTTGTACATCAGCAGCAGTTAATTTTGTTGATTTTGAAATCAATTAGTTAGTAAAAGTTCTCTTCCAAATTTACTTATTCAATTAATGTAGTATAAAACAAAGTATAAACAGTGATCATTCTCTTTGTTGATGATGTTTCTTTCAAACAAGGCATCCAAGGATTATTGTTGCATTTTTCATTATTCATCAATATTTGTTATATTCAATATATAAATTGGAACTCAAACTTATATCATTCTTACCTTAATGCTTTCATCTTCAACTTTTTCCAATAATGTGCTGCAATAGGGAAGTAGAAAAAACGAGTTTTACAAAGTTGCCATGCTTTATTAGTTGATGAACCCTGAACCAGTAGAGTGGAATAAGTGGTAACTTCGTTGTTTACTTCATGAAAACTGATGCATTTGTTTGTGATTTCTCTTCTTTTAAAATTATTCTATTTTCTTTTTCGTTTTTTTTTGACTTTCTATGTAGTGCCGCCTTTAACCTTTATTAAATTACCAATTTGACAATGGTCATCATTTTCATCATACTTCAATATGTGTCATAGGAGATTTTAACTAATAATGAGTTAATTACGTAGAGAGAGCATTGAGAAGCATTAAGTGTGAAAAAGTAAGTTCGAAAATATTGAATTGAATGAACATTGAAAAAGGAAATCAAAAACTATTTTACTCATAATTTTTGTTGTTTCAGATGTTTTATCTGTTGCATTCAGCAGTATATTGGATTCTCAAGACATATGTCATTTATCGTATCGTTAGGACAGCTGTGGCACTTTGGTCAACGGTTGCAATATATCTCATCGCTCCACTATTTTATAAACCTAATTTTGATCCTTACAAAGGACGATGGACAGGTTAGCTATCATTGCAATTATTTTTTTTTTTAAATCTAAATTTCAATTTATTTCGAATTGTGCAAGTATAATTAAACACCATATTTTCCAAGACTTGTTACAATAAATCTCTTCCTGCAAATTTATACGATTATGAAATAAAAGCAAATATGGGCATACCCAGCATACGGGTTTAATCTTCAATATTTTCAGCTACCGCGTAGTGTATTCACTTGAGCATGTTGAATTAATGCTTTTAATTTTCAAAATTCAGTGTTACAGTTGTTACTGGTGGAACAGACGGTATTGGAAAGGCATATACAATCGAACTAGCAAGAAATGGTTTACGAAAATTTGTACTGATTGGTCGAAATGAAATAAAACTGCAAGAAATGAAGGCTTATTTAGGTAGGAGTTTAATCCAAAAACGATGAATTCTCTTCGAAGTTTTGATTTAAAAGCAAATAGTTTCAAATTCTCGACATATTTCCGTAAAAATATTTCAATAATTTGCCGGGATTTTCTGCTTATTTAATTACTTAATATAAGCCATTTCTACTTAATTATTCTTAATTTTTTGCTGATAAAAATCATAGCTGTTTTTTTTCAGATATAAACTAATACTTTTTCATTTATTCCACATTGATTATCTTTGTAGAATATTTCCTCCTTCTTTTTTATCAAATTTCATCACTTTAAAATTAGTGCCAACAGTGACGTAACGCTGTTAAAGAATTAGTTCAATTTCAACTCTTTTATTTGACATCTTTTTAATTTCTAACATGTCTTCAAATTTCCATTAACATTCAGCAGCGTTAATGGAGCACTTTATGTTATTTCATTCCTTACTAAGAAATATACGGTAATCTTAATGTTTGATAATTTGTTGTGTGAAATGAATCGATTTCGGTAGCTCACATGTTTTTGATAGATGTTTGTTGCCACATTGTAAACTCTTCTTCTATCTTCTAGAGAGTAAATTTGGTGCTCGTGTACAGACGTATTTGTTCGATTTTTATGATGGTGATTATACTGAGATGAGAAAATTTATTGAGGATATCGATGTTGGTTTTGTCTGTAAGCATTTGCTATATTTCTATGAATTTTGCAAAAATTTTTCAATTTTGATAATGAAAATTAATTTAATTAGCCCTATTCATCAGTATTTGAGGTATTTTGAATTTCCCTCTTTCATAATTAATGAAATTCAGCATATATTTAATGGCATAAATAACTGCTCACATAGTTGGTAAAATTTATTGAAATATAATTGTTTATAGTAAATAGTGTTGGTATTGGACGTGAACGAATGGAGCGATATGGCGATAATCCGGAAGCCGATCGCAAATTGCTTAAAGTGAATGGATTAGGTGCTGCTGAAGTAAAGTTAAAATTGTCCTTTGTAAAATTCTTAACTTAATTTTTTTTAAGTTAGTCGTCCTTGAAACACGTTTAGTGCGTATTTGCGCAGTGGTCAAATAAATTTTTCAGTTATCCCTCAAATTGGATTAACAGTAGTTTTTATTTATAATAATTTTACAAAAGCGCATACCATTAAGCTAAATTGTTCCAGTTCTTATCAATAGTTCTACCAACAATGGAAAAGAATGGTGGTGGACAAATTGTTGTCTTATCATCTTGCCAAGGCTTTAGGCCCTTTCCGTATATCGCATCTTACTGTGCCTCAAAAGTGGGTGTTTCATCACAATAATTTATCATTTTAACAATTTTTGTCCTTTCATCATGATTTTTTTTACTTTTAGTGTTTCATTTTTGACCTACTGATGAAAAGTGTTGGTATAAAATTTTCAGGTTATGTTGTCGTTTTTATGTGAAGCAATAGATCGTGAATGGTCGACAGTAAAAGTTCAGTGCTTGACACCTGCACTCGTAGCAACAAAAATGACACATTATGATAACAATTATAAATCTTTGTTCGTGAAAAATGCAGATGATTTTGCGAGAGAAGCTGTGAAGACAATTGGCTTAACGAGAATGACAAGCGGATGTCTGAATCATGAGCTGCAAGTAATCATTGTAACAAACTTTTACTTATTTGTGAACTGGGTAAGGTTATGTTTAAAATTTTTAAACAGATTAGTGAAGAACATTATTTTTCGCTACTGGTTGGAATCTTTTTTATATAAATTCATACTGATTTTTCATATTGAGATAACTGTTTAATGAAGGTTAGTATTTTTGTGCAAAGAACCAATATTTTGGTAATATAAGAAGCTATTCAGACTTATTTGGTCGGATTTTGTTTTTCATATTTCTTTGCTCAAAATCATCAATTTTAGATGTTAATGCGGCATATGATTCCGTGGACCTTGTTGAAATATATACTGTTGCCAATTTACTGGTATCATAAGCGAAGGACTGATCCACCTCAGTACATTGTCTCAATCACAACCGATAACAAAAAGGTTTCACTTTGCTAGATTTTATTTTGATATTACATTTTTTAATTGCTTCTTACAATTTGAATGGAATTTATGATAAATAGATTTTAAAAAATAGCATAGCTTCTCGTCATTAAATAGAAAATATTGTAGTTTTTTTGGAGCATTTTTGGAGCCCTACCATTTTATTTTTTATTCAATACTTTCTCTCTTCGTAACAGTCTTATTGGCCATAATACTAGTCATGCGCATATCCAGTCTATTAAGAAGTGAACATGAAATATAATCTTTCAACATGTATTCTTAGCTAAGATATCAATTTATTGTTCATTTATGTAAATATTTCATGTGATCTATTTTAAGCTTCTTTGCAGATTTATTAACTACCAAAATTGAATATGGGTATGGTGCAATATGCATGCGTAACTCCTCAATTTTTTTCTTGCACTAATTAATGTATGGAATATCAGCGATAAAAACTATTCTACTGCAGATTTATGATCATTAGGAGGAAGGAAATTCGTCGTGTTAAAATTTTTTATGTGAAGCAAAATACCCCTAAACCATCTTTTTGCATGAAGCGGAATTATTTTCATTCATTTCTATAAATTTGCGGGGTGAACGCTGACACTTTTTTTACAAATAAATCAAAGTTTTGAATTACTCTCCTGATTATCTTCTTAAATTTCATATTTCCCATTTGAACTTACGCTTCATTGTGTACTTTACTGTTATTTCGAGTAATTGTTGAAATAAAATGCTTTTTGTATGCTTTTAAAATTGCCTGATATGAGCAGCGGAAAAAGAAAAGAGAAAGTGAGCGAATGAAAACATTGATATTGTACTAAAAAAGCATTCAGTGGGTATTTTTTAGCTAAGTATAATATTTTATATAGATTGTGAGAGAAATATTAGCTTCCAGCAAATATCATTCAAAAAGAATGAGGTCGAACTTGCAATTTGCAACAAACAATTCGCGGAATGAAACATATTGAAGAAGAGAGTTAAACAGATGAATTAAATCTTAGATAACATCAATTAGTCATTAAATAATTAAACTAGCACAGCTATTAAGTAGTGTTACAACTGCAAAGATATTTGCATTTGGAGATGATAATTCTTATTCAAGTTACCAACATTAATTACTTTCCGTGAGCAATCTTTTTTCTCTGCAAAATTCAATCTAAATAACAAATCTTAAAGTTAGAACCTTTTACTTACTCGGAATTATATTGAATAATTTTTCGAGTTCTAAAATGGAGAAAAAAATGATTTCTTCCCTATTTTGGTACAGATATCCTATTACTGTTAACTCTAAGTTAATAACATACGAGTAATTTTTTTCGAATTTGAAATCATTTTGGATATAAAATTTGTCAAGTAAACACATTCACTGTCTACTTACTATGCAGATATCAATAATTCCAAGAATTCTGTTTTTTGTTTTTTTGATGCGTTACTAGTTGAAGAAGAAAAATGAATATTATAAGTATGAAAGAATTCGAAGCGTGTGATTTCTTGATGTTATGTGATGTGATAAGTAATAAATCCGAAATTTTTTTTAAAAAAATTTCAATGAGGGTGACTTTTTTTAAATTTCTCTTTTTAAAATTAATTTTAGATATTATAAATTTATAAGATATGTTGAACAAGAAATGGAAAGTCAGAGATTACTCGAATATGCAAGAAATGAATCCAAAATAAAAATTTGAATGATTGATACATTCATAGGCTGCTATTAGGAAGCACATTAAAAAAATTTCGTATCAAATAGTTAAAATACTTATTTAATTAGGATTAATTTTTAAATTATGATGCTAACGAATGTCCATAGCAGAAGGAGCAGAATTGCAGCTGTGAGGGAATTGATTAAAATTGATCAGATCTGATAACTTTTATCTTCGATACTCTCGCTTTAGACTAAAGCAATAGACATATTAAAGGATATTTGGTCAGTCATATATCAATTATAGCAGATATTACATTAATTCCCCCGCACACATATAATAAGAATTCTCGTGAGAATTCCTGAAACTTATAATTATCGTCTTTTTTTACGACAATATTTGCTTATGCAAGTAGAATTAAGTTTTCTTGCAGCAGCGTTGCAACTAAATTATATAAATGAAGCATAGCAAACACGGAATTGCCAAAAAAGTTCAGAATGTTTGATTTTCCATTTAAAATATATTATTTACTCTTGTATGTTTTATTTATAAAAGTTGGAAAGTTCTGAGAAATTGCAATGTTTTAGTAAATTTTACTTTATTTTCAGTCTTATATAATTTATCTATTTTAAGTGAAAATTTGCCATTCTTCAGTTCATAATATGAATCGAATGTTAAACAGAAGTAGTAGCTGTGAGAGAATTGATTACAATTAATCAAATCTGATAACTTTCAACAAAAAGTTATCAGACTTGATCAATTTTACAACTAATGATGAAACGATGCTAACACTTATTTTGACAAGAGAACATTGTACATTAATTAGCTATGTTTGCCAAAAGTAACTGAAGCACATATATCTCTAAACTTCTATAAGTTATTTTTTAAAGTCAATCACTTCTATTCCTAGCAAATGTGCTTTTTAAGTCAATCAATGCGATTTCTTCAAGTTGATGTTTATCGATACTTCACCAAATAAGATTTCAAAGAGAAATTTTATTTTACACTTTTTTAAAACGTTCAATTTTTGACTGCATAAATTCTTATGCACAATTATTTGAAATTCAAGAATAAATATTTATTTTTAATTCACAATTTTGAAATATTATCCAATTATCCTAATGTTTATCAAAAATATCTGAATTTATCTTACAAAACGGCTTCTCTGATCAACTTCGCAATGGCATGATATAATTAATATCATTTTTTTGCATTATTCATTTCAATGTTTTGCTAAATTCCATGGTTTAATTAACTTTCAAAATAATTAATTTGAATCATTCAAGTCATTTAGAGCATTGGTGCACATTGCGCCGAATAAATGGACAATTCTCGTTCCAATACAAATATTTTAAGCAGAGGAGAAAAAAACTAATTAGTAACATTTAGATATTTTGAAATATTTTATTGAATTTTTAAATAAAATTCAGAGAATTTATATATTTCACAAATCCGATGAACTTTAAGAAGAAACAACTATATAAATAATTTCATAGAATTTTTAATTCCGATTCTCATTAAATATATTCTTACATCTTGGTTTCTACAGTACCACTTGATGTTCCAGGATACTGTTGAACCTGAATAGTCAATGATTTTGTCTGAAGATGGAAAAGTTCTTCTCAAATAAGTAAACAATTACAGCTACTGATCAAGATGATAAGATTTTGAAAAAAAAAACAGTCGCTTCCTTTATTTTATTGTCTAATATTAATGCAAAAATTCCGTTTCTCTTTTCTTATTGACAACAAATTTTTAATTTTTCCTCTTCCCCAAAGTACCACAAACTCTTACAAAAAGATTTTCTGCATGCTATTTATTTTCTGTTATGCAGGGATTTTTTTTGTTTTTTGAAATTAAAGAAAAGAAAAACTGGTTAAATGGTTTTACTTGCATGACTGGCGAATTAGGACTATTTCCGAGACCAAAAATGCTTTGATGCGAGTCACTGTAAAGAATTTAATAATTTAATATTAAAAATTGCAAATATTCTTTTCAATAGTGAAAAAGTTAATAAATCAATGGATAATAAAATACGCTGAATAGAACAAGTCATTTAAAATTTACAAACAAAAAGACCAACTTGCTTAGTTCTGTTATCTCAGTTGTTTGCTCTTCGCCATTTGTTTCTCCTTGAAGTTCTTTTTCTAGAAAATATCTGTTTAATATTGAATGATAAATTAAAGTTGAAAATATTCAGTACACTTTAATATATTATTATTATTAATCGGTGACGCACAAGATTAATTGATTCCCAATTTTAAATAAGTACATATTAAAATTAAAGATGTCAGGTATTAAAATTAAAATTCCGCATGGCACACGTATTTTAACGTATTTATGAATTGAACTATTCAAATCAATAAAAATCATTTCGAAAGACACTTCGTGCAAACATTTTTGGCAATCTTTTGGTAGTTAAATTTTTGCTGAGATAAAATACCTGGTTTTCCACCAATTCTCTTTTTTTGTAAATATCTGAAAAATGCTTTAATGGTTGCTTACATAACAAAAGTAATTCATTTATTTATGAGATAATTAATTAGAAACTTTCAGAAGGGAGAAAAATTTGATTAGCCGTTAAGCTTTTGCCCCATGTAGGAATTCTTCACATCATAAATTTTAGCGCACCACTCTTCAAAATTCTTTAAACTCTCAAAATTTAATGTGGTATTCATTCAGAACATACTGTGTTTAGCTCAAGACGTAAATTATAAGACAAAGCGAAAAAAAATGATTTCTTTAATTTTTTACGACGTTTCCAATTATCAAATTCAGCTAAAATTAAAACTCTTAAATTTTATTTAATACTCACTGTTTATATTTTTGAGTAATATCTCTAGCTCTTGCATTTAACTCAAGTTCATTTCTTACACGTTCTCTCAATCTTCTTCGGTTCTCATACGGTGTG